TCCCGGCAGCTCCCGGCGTTTCTGCGCAGAGCTCAGCGTGGAGGCCGCGCTCCGCCGGCGCCCGGGAGCCGCGGGTCCCCGGGAAGGGAGAAGCAGGCGGCGGCCGTCGCTGGTGTTGCTGCGGCTAGGGCACCTGGTTGTGGCGGGCAGAGCGGCCCAGCACCTATGCCCGCAGATCCCGCCGGTGAGAGGGGCGGCATTGAGCAGACCCGCCCGCCGAGGCCGGCGAGGCCCGAGGAGGCCGCCTCCGGGTGCAGCGCCAGCTGGGGCCTGCTCGCCAGTCAAGGTTAGTGGAGCAGCCGCCTCCCCGCGCTCTGCCCCTGCGCTGCGGACACTGTCACCGGGGCGCGTTCCAGGGGCGGGGGCGCATGTAAGGGGTAGCATGGGGACGGCCACACCGTGTCCCCGCTAGTGTGGAAAACGCACCTGCTTGCGCGGGCCCTGACTGTCAAACGCCTGGCCCTGGGCGCCCGCGGTTCCCTGAGAGCAGGTGCTTCTAGGTGGCCTGGAGACGGGAGGGCATGTTAAGCAAGAAAAGACGAGACTGCTTCCGAGCAGTTCAACGTGGAAATTTTGAGTCTTTTCAATGGGACCCGAACATAGGAGGGTGGTGCAGGGAAGGAAATGAGTGGAACAGGTTTTCTCACGTGCTCTGACGCCTCGGCCTTCATCATGGGCAAGCGCGAAGGGCAAGGGAGAGGGGCCCCGACCGAAGGGCGGCTGGGCGAGGGCCTGGGCTTTAGGGAGAAGGGAGAGTGGGACCTGACTGAAGGGCAGCTAGGGGGGGACGTGGGCTTTAGGGAGAAGGGAGAGGGGCCCCGACCGAAGGGCAGCTAGGGGGGGACGTGGGCTTTAGGGAGAAGGGAGAGGGGCCCCGACCGAAGGGCAGCTGGGCGAGGGCCTGGGCTTTAGGGAGAAGGGAGAGTGGGACCTGACTGAAGGGCAGCTAGGGGGGGACGTGGGCTTTAGGGAGAAGGGAGAGGGGCCCCGACCGAAGGGCAGCTAGGGGGGGACGTGGGCTTTAGGGAGAAGGGAGAGGGGCCCCGACCGAAGGGCAGCTAGGGGGGGACGTGGGCTTTAGGGAGAAGGGAGAAGGGCCCCTACCGAAGGGCAGCTAGGGGGGGACGTGGGCTTTAGGGAGAAGGGAGAGGGGCCCCGACCGAAGGGCAGCTAGGGGGGGACGTGGGCTTTAGGGAGAAGGGAGAGGGGCCCCGACCGAAGGGCAGCTGGGCGAGGGCGTGGGCTTTAGGGAGAAGGGAGAGGGGCCCCGACCGAAGGGCAGCTTGGGGGGGACATGGGCTTTAGGGAGAAGGGAGAGTGGGACCTGACTGAAGGGCAGCTTGGGGGGGACATGGGCTTTAGGGAGAAGGGAGAGGGGGCCCCGACCAAAGGGCAGCTGGGCGAGGAACTGGGCTTTAGAGAGAAGAGCCGAAGCTTCCATTTCAGCAGAACATCACTGTGGCCGATGATAGGCTTAGCGGGTAGAAACGAAGATTCAGAGACCAAAATAACCCTTTGCTTCCCCCAAAACTGTCAGAGTTTTTTACTATGTAATGGAGTCTGAAGAATATTATTTATAAGTTATTATAAAATTCTAAAATGTACAAAGCATGTTTTTAAATAGGATAAAATACTGTCATTTCTTTAAAAGATTGAGGGAGGAACCCGGCTCTTTTTCCTAACCCCAAATTACATTCCCTTTTAATTACTTTTTAAAAAACATGTTTTTATTGATTTAGAGAGAGAATAAAGGAGAGAGAAACATCAGTGCGAGAGAGAAACACTGATCAGTTGTCCCCTGTATGCACCCCTACTAGGCACCGAGCCCGAAACCTGGGCATGAGCCCTGACTAGGAATCGAACCCGAGACATTTTGGTGCACTGGACAACGCTCAACCAACTGCGCCACACCAGCCAGGGCCTTTCAATGACTTTTTAACAATGCAATTATCAGTAAAGATTAATAACAAATTAGCGTGGATAAAAAGTGGTTAACTACAGAAAAGACAATTTAACAATTCAACAAGTGTTTATGGAGCACTTACTATGTGCTGGGCTGTGTTAGGTGCTGGGAAACAGTGACAAATAGTCTCAAGGTCCTTGAAGCCCAGGAGGAAGGGGGGGGGGGGCTGTCAATTAGTAGAGAATAAAAAGCTTTCTGTCCTTCCTTAAATGGAGAGTAAATTACCTAAATATGGTCCTGACCACAGGTAGGCATGTGAGCAGCTTAACAGAGCTGGCTGAGGGGGTAAAAAATTTAAAAATCAGTCAATTAATTCACCTGGATGAGTCTCACAGAGGAAGTTGAAAATAGCTGTAATATTATGTTAAAAATCTAATTGTGTGTAAAGAAAATATGGTTTTACATAATCTCATTTGATATAGTCTAAATAAATTGAAATTATTATAAGAGAGAAATGTCCCATGCTTTGATTAAAAAAAAAACAACTTAGCAAACTTGCGTTAGATTCCATTTCCAATTTTTCCAGCACTTACAATGAGAATGTAAACAGGCCCCATCTTGCTGGAGGCAATTTGATGTTGTATCGAAATTTTAAGAATTTATGCTAAACAGATAATTAGACACATTCACAAAGGTAAGAAATAATGTTGATTCCCTAAAAGCGGAAGCTGCCTAAACCCCGTTTAATAGGAGGTGAACTCAAGCAATGGTGGTAAACCTATGGCATGAAATATAGGTTATATAGTAGTCATTTAGCATATTGTGGAATTGTGTTTTGTGACATGAAACAGTGACCCCATGACATCCATCAGTGCAAACAGGTGAAAAGCAACCTGAACAGTCCGGCCGCCTCTTGCTTAAGATGACTCGGGAGGGACGGGAGGACTTGTTCACAGAGGTGGTATTTCCGTGGGGAACGGAAGCCAGGGAGGAAGCGTGTGCGTGTGTGCGTGTGCGTGTGTGTGTGTGTGTGTCAGGAGCTTGGCCTGCAGAGTGAACAGAAAGGCACATGTTGTGTTTGAGCAAAAGCAAGGAGGCGGGTGTGGCTGAGCCGGGGAGATGGAGGGAGGGGAGGCAGAACCTGAGACCAAGAGGACACCCCTGCAGGGCATGACAAGGACTTTGGGTTTTACTCCCATGAGAAGCTGGGCCACTGGATTCTTTCTGACTGTAAAGGATCACGCTGGCTCCTGAGTGCAGGGCAGACAGACGAAGGGCATGCGTGCGTCTCACAGACCCCTCAAGAGGCCTCTGCAGGGTCGGCGAGGGTGATGGTGGCTTGGCGAGGGTGGCAGCAGTGGATGTCCTGAGATGACAGCCCAAGTCTGGATTCGGTGAGAATGGCAGAGGCGAGAGGATCTGCTGGGGTGGAAGAAACAGAGGGAAATCAGCAGCTATGCAAGGCTTGGGCCTTGAAGCACCCGGGTGAGTGGAGGCGCCCTGTGCCGATAGGAGGAGGGAGATTTTGGAGGGTCACAGCAAGGGCCAGCATCAGACCTGTGAAGCTGAATCTCCTGTTTCTGTGTAGAAACACAGGTCGGGAATCCAGAGAAGAGAGCTGGGCTGGAGATATAAACTTGGGGTGGTCAACATGTGGATAATATTTATACCAACGGGACTAGGATGGATGCGCCCAAGGGTGGGCGTAGGTAGATGTAAGGACTGAGCTCGGGAGGATGTCGATTCCTGAAAAATAAAGCCGAAAAGGAGTACCCAGGCCAGTAAAAACTGCTTCCTTGCAAAGAAGCACATGAAACTGTCAGTATATATGATGTTTCCTTGAAAAGGACCGTGCTTAAATTTAAGACTGTGATTCGTGCCGGGAGAAAGAGGGTCGGCCACACTGATTAAAACCACAGAGAAGCAGAAAGGAGTAGCTGGTGCGGGGAGAAAGGTGATGCATTTGCTTTCAGAGACGTGCTGAGATGCCAGCCAAACAGCCAGGTGAGTGCCCAGAAGTCAGTGTTAAAATGTGGCACTGAAACTGGTGGGAGAGGCCAGGTTAGAGCTATAGACTGGGGAGTTATCCATATGGATGTGACAATGGACCATGTGCCCCAGGGTTTATGTGGCTCCATTCGTCTGACTGATCTGGTCAACAGAGGAGTAAACAATAGAGGTCAGCAGGTGCCTGGTGGTGGTTATTTATTCGGTAAACTTGTGAGTAGGAATGAGCCAGACGTTGTTGAGCTTGAAGCTGGTCCATTTTGGGGGATCTTCTTAAGAAAGTTAACATGAAATTACACAGTCTTAGCAGGTGTCTGTGCAACTGGGGGCCTGGACTGAAGTTTCACTGGCTTCATGGTAAATCTGCCTCCATTATGAAGACGACTGTCGACTTAATATTTCATAGCGCAGGAAGCTATAAGGTGTCATAAGCCGGCACTCTGCCTCGCGCATGACGATGACATTGCTCCTGGCCTCGCCAGGGAGCCTGAGTCCCTCTTCTGGGATGGGACTCAGATGAGAAGTCAGAGTTCCTAAAAAATAAAACGGTTTCCTCCCAGCCACGGGCAGAGATCTAAGTGCAAGACTTTGATTTCATTGCAGGGCCCACACCGTAAGGAGAAAAAATAGCGCTAGGACCAGCGATTTCGCAAAGAGCAGTGGTACCAAGGAAAGGCCGTTTCGGAAATCGGCCGGGCTGCCGGCGGACCCGAGCGACGGACGGAGGGTCACTGGGACACGGAATTCCCGGCGACGCGCGGCTGAGGGACGGGAGGCGCACGGGGGTCTTCCAGCCTCGAGCAAGCGGCACGCTCGGCGTTGATTCAAGCAAATTGCACAGGCCCCTGCGCAAGGCACTTTCCCGAGTTGTTTTCCTGCACCGGCCCCTTACTGCCCGCGGCACAGCCGGCAGGGACAATATACGTCTCCCTCCCAGAGCCACCCGACTGCCCTCCCCGGTCCCCACCACGCACCTTTCATTCCCTGCTAAAGTCGCCGGGCTGGCGGGGCCAGGCGGCCTTCGGCCCTCCCTCTCGGCCCCTCCACCCCGTGGGGTCAGCCCTGGAAAGTCTGTTAGCCGTTGCTGCACCCCTACAAAAATCAGATTCCCGAAGCCGTTTCTCCTTTTGGAGAGGAATGGGCACGCTGCCAGGAGGTCAGAGCTCCTTAAAATGGCCGAGTAGAACTAGCCAAGGACAAGTCATTTTTTTTTTTTATGCTGATAAAAAAATATATATGAGTCGGATTTACCTGCAGAGCGGCTGGCTCGAGGTGCCGTGGGGAGACGGCGATTTAGGTAGGTGCAGCCCCCACCCCGGACTGCGGAGTCCGAGGCCGCGGGGGTTTTCGCTCCTGCAACATGATGTTTACCGACCGGGCCGGCTCGCTCCCTGTAAATTAAATACCAGATGTCTGGGAACCGGTGTTGTTTCTAAATATATTCTGAGTCACCTCCTGTGAGAGGCCATAACAGTGGGCATTTGTTTAGAGTGGGGAAAGTTCCAGCTCTTTTGTAAAATGATTTTCACACTGAATAATGTATCCCAAAAGGGTTAAGTTGAACGTTTTTTAGTCTTAGCTACCGAATTAAAGTCTGACGGGATTGTAAGGTGACTATATTGCTGTATGTGAAGACACTTATATTGTTTGGTCTGGAGAAAGCTTGCAAACCCCCCTAGTAAAAAGTTTATTGTACGGAAAGGAGAGATAGTGTTGAACTCATCTGACTAGAAAGGTGCCGTCGCTAAATTTCAGATTCCGAAGGGGAGAAATAGGGAGGCGTGAAGACTGAGTTCAGAACAGGAGCCGGCACGTGATATAATATCTGTTAATTCTCACCTCTTCCCAGATCAATTACAGAGATTCTAGGGACTTACAAGGAAACAGTGAGGGGGGCTGCCAGGGAGACAGAGAGGCGGGATTCCAACAGAAGAGGTTTCGTGTCCGTGAACAGCATGCGTGTGCTGTAAACTGCTCCTTGAGTAGATCCGTGTTTGGTTATTTCTCACAGCTTACTTAGGACAGAAGAACGGAGCAGCCATTGTGCCTGCCGGCTTAAATACCTTTATAAGTCATGCGATTGCTTAATATAGTTTATTTAATTATGTTGGTAACACTGCAGATCGTTTCAGTCCATAGATGCTACTATTCATGGCTTGCGTTTCCTTCGTTTTGGAGAAAGGATTGCCCCTGAAGTGCTTATTAAAGTCTCCCCTGTTTGTCGGTTTATGTTGAGCGGAATGTTGGGTGTTACTTGCTGGGCATGGATACAGCAGGTCCTGGGAGCCTTCCCAACCCCCCCCAGTCCTGTCCCACAGGCGGCGCTTCCCCATTTGGCGAGGACACTGGCGCCCGTGTTGCTACGACGGCATGGAGGCCCCGGTCCAGCCCGCCTGGCCTTTTCCTCTGGGAGCTCCTGGGCTCTAGACCCCCCCTGGTTTCTTGCCTCCTCCTGGTCTCCGTTTCCATCTCTTCCCCTCCTGCTCTTGCCTGTCCCCTGCTGGAAGCAATAATGACGGACGGCAGGGGTCCCACCGTGAGCATAGCTGAGCTCAGCCTAGAAAACTCCGTCCTGGCAGCGGTTTCTCCAAGCCTTCGTCCCTGCCCAGGGGGCCGTGGGGTCCCTCACCCAGCAGGATATGCTGTCAGTGGGTTCGTCACTGACCACCTGCCCACACGTTCCAGCAGATTGCTGTGACATTTAATTCTTTTTTCGTGCCGATGGAGGTTGTATTAATAGAAATAATAGCAAACACACATACGTAGGATCTGGCTTCGGCATTTTCTCTCCCCACCAAAATGGACTTCAGAAACCAGAGTGGGACAGAAAGGCATGTGACAGTCTGGGGAGGGGGGACACTGGGGGTTGGGATATCAGTGGTAAATTCAAACACTTTGTTTATCTATTTTGGTCGTTGTGTAGCCTGTTTTCTAAATGACCCTTTTCCTTTCCATTCTCGCTCCTTTTTCTCTGGTTTGTGGACACCAGCTAGCGGTGCTGAAGTGAGTCAGAGGCAATCATTCTGATGGACAAACACATTAGGATGCGAAAGAGGAATATCAGGTCCCTCATAGCTGAAAATATTGTTGACTTTGCTGCCTCTTAAAGGTCTTCATGATATACCTGAAAGAAGTGAGTCCAGAATGAATCCCAAAGGCATTTCTCCAGGCTTTTCCCAGCCCCAGCGTCTGGTTAATGGCCGTGGTAGCTGAGGATGAAGGAAGATCGCACAGTGCTAACCAGTGGGCCTCGATTCAGTCAGCACAGATTTTAGAGAGAAGTTAAGGGTAATGGACTTTATTAAGCCTGTAGACAGGAGGGCACACATGGCTATTATAAATATTATAACATCATTTAAATGCAAACAGCTTTAAGCATTGGTTACTCAAAACCTTATTAATTTACTGCTCATTAAACCAAACAGTGGTTTCCCATATGCAATCTGCCTGGAAAGTGAATACTACAGTTTTCTTATTTAAATATCCACAGGGAAGATTGGTGCATGTTCCAAAGTCCTCCAGGGTTTCACTCCGCAGTCGAGCTGTTTAATGAAACAAATGGATGCATATGATTTATAAGTCATCAGATTTCATCTTAGAAGCTGGAACTCGAAACATGCTTGTTCCCCCAAATAATATTATTTACGATGAGACTTCACTGCATGTAGTGAGAACACAATGCTCTAATTTCTTATAAATCATTATTTTGCCTCCAAATTTTGTCCTATCAACGGATATTTATTGATGTGCCATATTTATTTCCATTCTGCTTATAATAGATAACAGGAGTATTGCATCTGGAAAGAAATAATGCACAGAAGCTAATAACTGTTATTTCAGTGGAAAACTCAAAGGATTGGATGTCTGGCTTTTTTTGGATGGGCAAGAAACAATGCTAGATGCAAAGGCAAAACCGAGACAGTGCAGTGTCGTAACTAGATCGGCTCTGGAGTTAGACCATGTGACTCTCTTTAGATGGTTTCATTTCTTCCAGCTATCATCTCCTCAACTTTAAGATAGGAACAATAATTGTATATCCCTGAAATAGTTGTGAGAACTAAGTGGGATGTGCACAGTGCTTAGACTGGTGCATTCACATGGTGAATGCTATTCGACATTAGCTATTGTCACCATGACTTATATATCAATCAAGTAAGTAGAAGAAAGTCTCTTTCCCCTCCCCATTAGAAGCTATATTTTTAATAAAACCCCAGTATCAGTGGTTATAAAAAAGACTGGTGATTGGCAGTTGACTTCTGCTCTAGACCAGGCTCACTTGGTCATTTCATAATCCTGTGATATATGCCCCGCATTTTATCCAGTGGAATTGTTTGGACCTCACTTAGGTTGTGGGAAAGCCCTACTGTAAGGCCGTCCTACAGAAGCACAGGGGTGCATGTGGACTTTTGGGAAGGTGTGAAGTGCAGGAACGATGCGGTGCTGTCTAAAGGACACCTACCACGTTTCTGATAGTTTTCCTGACCTGTTTAGATAGGCTTTAGACAGGCTTTGCCTGACGTGCATGTCTGACTAGTAGCTAAGTGACTTTATTTAAATTGCACTAGAACTGGTTAGCAGAGTTGTTGTTGTTGTTTTTTAAATATATCTTTATTGATTTCAGAGAGAGGAAAGGAGAGGGAGAGAGAAACATCAATGATGGGAGTCATTGATCGGCTGCCTCCTGCATGCCCTGAACTGGGGATCGAGCCCACAACCCAGGCCTGTGCCCTGACCGGGAATTGAACCCCCATCACCTGGATCCTAGGTCGACGCTCAACCGCTGAGCCAGGCCTGGCCGGGGCAAGCAGTTTTTAAAGATTATTTTTATTTGTTGCATCCTGTGGATCCCCAAGTGGGGAAGGGATAGTAAACAAGGAGACAGAGACTAGCAAACATGACCCCACTGCATGGGGAAGATGCTGTCTCTAGTCAGCATCACAGTAATTTATCGGCCAATGACTCCCTTTTAGGGAATGTTTTTCTGACTTGCGTAGTCTGCATATTTAATTACTCTGAAACATTCAACGCGATCTCTCACGTCCACTCAATAGAACCAGCAACGCTGACCCTGTTTGACAAGAAAATCACTGTGTGCCAGCCCAGTGTCCTGTAAAGCCACCTGGGTGACCACTAGGTGGGGAGAGTGCACCCCTGGGTGGTGGCTGGGTGCCTAGAGGGGCTGGGGAGAGAGAAGAAGGGGCTTTTACATGAGAGGGAAAGGTTCCAATGGGAGGGGCACAAAAGGCATGTCAGAAGAGGCTGACTTGGGGACATGGCAGGTCAACATTTCCCACCAGGGCGCAGGGTTGGAGGGCTTCAGTCCACCATCTGCCGCCCACTGGGTGAGCCCCTGGCACTCTCTGCACCATTTCCAGCAAAGCTGACAGCGTGCTCCTCCCACTGTGTGTGACTCCCCTTTCTAGGGCCCACCAGTTCGCTCTGTATCTCTGAACTTGGGGCTCATGGTCCAGGTCTCGGGACTTGGGGCTCAGCTACTCACCCTCCATGGCCATGTGCTGTGGCCCCTCACGCCTCGGGGCAGGGAAGCAGCAGGGCGGGGGGAGCGTGGTGAGGCGGCTGGTCCAGCTGCTTCTCTGCCAAAAGTGCCCCAAAAAATAAATGAATAAAAAGGGGGGCTTCTGTTTGGAAGACTGGGAGACAGAGGAGGACTTTTGTTTGTTTGTTGTTTGTTTCGGTGGCAGATCTAGTACCTCAATTCCGTTCTTTGAAGGAGAAGTCCGAAGGTGCAGGAAGTCTGGGCGAGGTCAAGTCCAGACCTGCACGGCCTGGGTTTGGGATCCGCCAGTCTGGACCCTTTAGAGAAGAATCCGATTTCCTGATGTCTTGGTCCCCTGTGGACACTGAGTCTGAGTGGTTCCTCTGTCACAGGATGGGTCCTGGCTCAGAGGTCTCCCTGGACTCAGGATGTCTGTGTTCTCTCTTTTCTGGCAGGTTCCTGGGCAGACCGCTCACCACTCCACGAGGCGGCGAGTCAAGGCCGCCTCCTCGCCCTGCGGACTCTGTTGTCACAGGTAAACTATCCCATATGCTTGAAGCAGGCCCGTCCATGAGCAGAGACATGAACCATCAAAGGCAGCAACTCAAATATAAAACCGCTTCACAAACTTTATTAGTCTTTTTATTTTAGCTCACGAAGCAGCCAGGTCTGTGGCCTCTCATTTATCTTCAAAACGTCTTTATAAATATTTTGGTGCATAATCTTATGTCCTAGAATTTCAGATTTCTCTCAGTATAGTTGTTTATTGATAGACATTTTTGCAAGAAATGATTGGAATTATGTTGTTTATTAAGCATTTTAAATATCCTCAACTCTGTACAATGTGCAGCTCATTGCAGACTCAGTTCAGCCTAAAATATCCGAAAAGGGGCAGCCGGGCCGACGCCCACACCCTCTTGCATCGCCGTCACCTGTGATGTGTTGAGGGAACTGCCCCCGGGAGCTAAGGACCAGCCATTTCCACAGCTGCCTGCTCAGCAGACTCGCCAGAGGCAACATGAAAAACAGGCTATTTGTTGAAATACAAAGAGCTTTGGCTTGGCCTGTGCATTTTTAAAATTTTCCAGCGTGATTCAAATGCACATCCAGACCAGGAAGCCGATGCCCTAGTGTCTCCCAGCATCAGAGAGAGAGAGGCGACGGCCACAAGGGAGGAGAGGGTGTCACCCAGGGTGCCTGGGGCTGGGGACCTCTACGCCAGGCCGGCACTAGAAGTGAATCCCAACCTCCCTGAGCCCCGCTGTGTCCTCCGTGAAGGGAAGGTTTAGGTTGAGGTGCCCCCTGAGGGCCGGGCACCTCTCCGGTAACTATGACTATTTTGTCTGCGCATCACTTGTTGAAAAAACCCTGCAAAACGTCATTCGTGTCTAGAGGCGTCATGCAAGGGTCAGGTGGCTCGTTGAGCGGGGAGCAGCCTCAGGATATTTCATAACATGGATCTCATATCTGCCAACAGGCCAGCGGGAAGAGTCAGAGGCTGCCCCAAGGTCCCGTGTGAAAGGGAGTCTCGACCTTCCAGATGCTTCCGTCCTCTGGTCACTCTAGTGAGTGGCAGTTAGGACTTACTCCAAGCATGACCGCTGGTCAGCCACTTCAGAATCTTTGAAAGAATAATTTTCAGGGATCTTAAAAATGGCCACTTGCACTCGGAATTTTCTTGTCTTCACTTTAAGATTTCTCATGTCCATGGGGCATTACAGACCATGGTCATCTGTAATACCTTATGGGGATTTGGGCCCTGAAAAATCTTCTCATTATAGTGTTTAATGTGATGGGCAACAGCCAATGAATTACCAACAATAGCAAGAAGGCAAAGAATCTCAGGTCCTGGTAATATTTAATTATTTTCGTCTGATATCATTAGTTTAATGGGAATATAAGTTTTAAATGTGTTTAGTTTTGATTGAATAATAAAACAGAATTAAACCTTTCCTACATGCTGGGCACTGTAACAGTAATTGTTTTCTCTGCATCATCTCATTTAATCTTCATGAGTTTAGAGGTTAATGGACTCATCCAAATGAAAGCAATTACTGCCTCACGGAGCAAGGCTTCCAACCCAAGTCTGACTCTGGTCAGAGCTCCTCACAGCACGGAGCCTAGTCAGACCTACTCCCTGACAAAATTTCACAAAGCAAGTTACTACGGGTTAGGGTGTTTTCCCCCCAGAATGGGCTGACATGGAATTTTATAGCTCCAGTCAAAGCAGGTGATCCAGCCTATAAACAGCCTTTAATTCTATAAAACAAAACAAAGAAGCAATAGCAACCCAAGCAGTTCCTAAAGAGAAAAACAAATGCTTAAGCAAAATTTCAATAATACTTTCAGAATCCGTTGGACAATATATTTAAAGTGGTATTGGGTTTGGATAGGATGGCGTAACAGCTATGGGGCTCAGGGGTCTTGACCACAGATGGACTCCGTGGCATTCGAGCTGGCCTTTTCCTGTGACCCGAACCTGAGTTGCCTGAGATTCCTTGATTTTTTTATATCACCCTTTAGTGACAACTGTTAGAGATGACGTTATAGAACTTTGTGCTCACCTTTCAAAATTATTCCTGTCACACGTAGGGCTACAACGTAAACGCAGTAACGCTAGACCATGTCACCCCCTTGCATGAAGCCTGCCTCGGCGATCATGTGGCGTGCGCCCGGACCCTTCTGGAAGCTGGAGCTAACGTAAGTCCCTGTTCAGCTCTCACATCTACTGGCAAGCCAGGCAGAGTTCTCGTTTGCCTTCCCTTCCTTGGTAGTTTTCAAAGACAGCAGGCTGGAGAGAGAGCTCTCAGCTTGCCCAGCCTTCTCTCGTTTGCGCTCAAGGATTCCCAGGCATCGCAGAGGGGCAGCGTGCATGGCGTGAACCATTCCACGCTGTCTGCTGCTTCCCGGGTTCTCAGCGGCCGTGGCTGAGCATCTTCATGCCCATAACGTTTCCATCTTCTGGATGATTTTTTAAAATAGATCCTCAGAAACAGAATTTCCAATGTAAACTGCCCCCAGCAAGGTGGCTTCGTCACAACTTTCATCACCGTTTACACTTGACTTTTTTCCCAGCTGAAGTGCACCTACCCACTGAGTTCGTTTTTGTGCCTTTGATCCTCGAGAATGTATTTTTCCGTGACTTTTGCCCATTGTATGGTCACTCCTGTGAACTACCTACCACATCCGATTTCTGCGTGTCTCTTGGGACAAGTCATAAAGCTTCCTCACCCCTGGGCCTGAGCCAAGGACACTGTCCTGTTCACCGCACCCCCTTCCCCAGTTATTCCTGTGAGCAGATCACCTCCCTTTTAAAAACGCCTGACAGTTAACCACGTGTGATCGTCCGAGCCTCACTCTGGATTGCGGCCCGGTTTTAGGTCAACGCAATCACCATAGACGGCGTGACCCCCTTGTTCAACGCCTGCTCCCGGGGCGGCGCGAGCTGCGCGGAGCTCCTGCTGGAGTTCGGGGCGAAGCCGCAGCTGGAGGCCTGCCTGCCGTCCCCCACGCACGAGGCCGCCAGCAGAGGTAAGCCCCGGCCCGAGCCCTGTGCGGGCGGTGGCCTCCGGGTGGGCAGAGGTGCGCGGGGCCGGCCTTCAGGAAGAGTAAACGTCTCTACCTTGCAGGTCACCACGAGTGTCTGCAGATACTGATCTCCTGGGGCATAGACGTTGACCAAGACATTCCTCACCTGGGGACTCCTCTGTACGCGGCGTGTGTGTCTCAGCAGTTCCACTGCATTCGGAAGCTTCTGTATGCTGGTAATCACTGTTCTCGAAAACATCTTCGCTTCCGCCCAGGCCCACAGCAATTACACGGCTCTCCACTTGCTTTTTTTTTTTTTTTTTTTAATTTATTGATTTGAGAGAGAGAGAGGAAGGGGGGGAGAGAGAAACACTGATCTGTTGCTCCCCTTATTGATGCGTCATTGGTTGGTTGATTCTTATATGTGCCCCAACCTGGGATAGAACCCTCAACCTTGGCGTGTGGGGACAATGCTCTAAGCGACTGAGCCGCCTGGCCAGGGCTGCACTTATTTCTCTACATAACCTTCTTTAAAAATTATATCTCATTGCTAAAGATGTTCTTATTCTAAGTGCTCTCACACATCAGTATATAATCTCTGTAAAAAAGAACCTCATTCTTGGTAACTCCACTTCACCCCAAAACTCCAAATCCCCTGCTGACAAAGGTCATACCATGAAGATCGTCAAGGTTGAATATAATGTTGCCACACACGACTACGTCTGTGATGAAACCCATCAAAAGAAGTTTTAAGGATAGCAACTGCTTGGGTAACCTTTCCTCCCCACAGCCGTCCCACGTACATCCCTAGGCGACAATCTCTGTCCCACTTACCTGAAGAGACGCAGTGCCCTGTCCCACTTGCTTGAAATGAACCAGTCCCTCGAGGTTTCAGCTCTAGACCCTGAGAAACTTCCCGAGGGCTGGGAGCTCCGTTAGGTTGTGGATCCTCTCTCTTTCCTCTAGCACAGCCTGTGCCTCTCCCATGGTGGGCGCCGAAAATATACTCAAAACAAGTAGATGAGTTCCTCTGCCTTCTACTGTTTATGACAACCATTTGGCCTCTGATACATCCAGACGTATCTTTTTATAGCCCCTTTATGTTGCTCACAGAATCTTAGCCTAGCTACACGTTTCCAGGCCGTCTCCATCAGTTTCACTCTCCAGTAAGACACTTAAGCGCGAGTTCTGCTAATGATCGTTGGCAGATTGTTGTTTTCGGGCTCTGTTCTCCCATAAACTTATATAACCAGGAGAGTTTATTCTTTATCACCCTTCTTTACTTTGCTAGGAATATTTTCTTTCCACTGAATAATTTATGCTGGGTAGAAGAGTACTGGGAAGTGCATTAGTAATTGGGACGGGCTGTTATGCTCAGGCTCTGTTCTCTCCTAAAACTGACACAATCGGCAGAGTTTATGCTCCCTTCTATGGAGATTTGGTTATGCAATGTAATTTTTCCACTAAGCATTTTATATTAGGTTAAAATGTTGAAAACGGTTATATTTATTGAAACTTGAAAGTAGCAGGATGGCCATAAAGGGACTCTTAGAGTGTACTGCTTCTTATAAATGCTGGTTTGACAGACAGGATCAGAAAATAGAGTTGAAAGGACTGATGCATTTTTTAGTGATAGGCATTTCTTGGTGGTGTAACCATCATTTTCTGGAAAATGGGGCTACTTTTCTTCACAATGTTTATTAGGGTTTATTTGTCACCCATGAATTAGTGGGTGACCACCCACATGCCAGGGTTGTCACTAAGACCAAAAGCTTTGCAGTAGCTTTACATGCTTTAACATGTAAGACATTTTTTAATGTAATCATTCTTTAAATCTACTTTGCTTGCAGAAGTATAATGTGCCTTTATGTATTTATCGACTTAAACTACACGAGTAAGAAGTGACAGGAAAATCTATATACATTTTACCTAAAGAGCTCACATACCTAGAATCATGAGTTTTCCAAGAAACAAAAGAGCTCTATTACCTTAAAATAAATGAAAGGAAGACAAGCAATAAGCTCTTGAATAATCCGGAGAGCTATCAATCATGATGCAAATAGATGAGAGTCAACCTAATCGCACACTGTTTATAATACATATACTAGCTAATGTGATTAATGTTAGAGCTGTTTAAAATTAAACATATTTTTAATTAGGTGATATTTTAGGAATACAGAAAAATATTAGAAAATATAACAAATATGTGTATTTTCCATTCAAATGTACCGAGTCTTAAGATAATGTATATGTTTATGTATATGTATATGTATATGACTATGTATATGTATATAGGAGGCACTCACAGCCTATGGAGCTGAGGTCCCCTTTCGGCCACACCTTCCTGCCTGCATTGAGGTGACTCTTAGAACAGTCTGTGTTTGTATCCACCACCGTTTTGTATTTCCACATAGGCGCAGACGTTCAGAAAGGCAAATACTGGGATACACCGTTACATGCTGCTGCTCAACAGTCCAGCACAGAAATTGTCAACTTGCTGCTCGAGTTCGGGGCGGACATCAATGCCAAAAACACAGAGCTCCTCCGGCCAGTAGATGTCGCCACCTCTAGCAGTCTGGTGGAGCGATTGTTGCTTCAGCAGGAAGGTAGGAAGAATGCCTGTGAGCATTCAAACCACAAAAATGTATTTGCTGGAAATAGGTGAAATTTAAGGGCCTTTTGAGGGCATGTAAAGTAATAATGACATGCGATTGGAATTTTTTGTGTGAAAGTAAATACTTTTTAATTTAGGCTCTATCTATGAAAACAACAATCACAATGATCTCAATTATCTTTTTTTCATCTTACCTAAAACTTTATATTCCTTTGGGTAAGTTAAATATATTCAGTTTTTGACCACACATAATGTGGAATTATGTTTAATATCTGCAAATAAATACTTAGAAGCATGCCTCATTTTATAGGGCAGGCACCGCCCATAATGTGTGGTAGAAACATAATCGGGAAATACTTCCACACTTAAGACTTTGGTTCTCAAATAGAATTTCTCAAGTCTGGTCAAGACACAGTAATGAAATTGGCTTTGGCTTAAACAGTAAATCAAATTTGAGGAAAAAAATTAAGGATTTTCTCCTATAGCACATGACACTTCTTTGATTTATACCTCCTTCAGAGAGCAGAATCTGAGGTTCTAAATGCAACAATAATTTCATAATCCTGAAGACTAAAATGTTTTAAAGAATGTGTATGGAATATGCCTCAACTCTAATAAGGTCTCACGAGGGCACTATAAATGCTATGATTTCCCTAGTACAGTGCTCAGACTGCCCTAGTGTGCTACAAAGCACTGTAGATTTTCTGCTTTTACTTAATGTATCTGATATAAAACTCCGTGTATTTATTTAACGGACACGCCCTTGCCCCCTGCAGCCACGCCCAGCTCCCTCTGCCAGCTCTGCCGTCTCTGCATCAGGAACTGCATCGGAAGACCGCGCCTGCATCTCATCCCGCAGCTCCAGCTGCCCACGTTACTGCACAATTTCCTCCAGTACCGATAAAGCAGCAAAATAAGTCTTGGTGTTTAGAAGATCAAAAATTTCCCCCTCATCTGCACAGTGCATATTTCATATTAAAATATGCTAAGGATAGGGTAGGAGTGAGCGTGACAACTCCCAGGGACGCAGTGGAATATCGATCTTATTTTTAAGTGTACTAGTGGGTACTATTGTTTTATGCGTTGTTATTGTTTTCAGACATAGCATATTTAAAATATCTCTATATTATTATTCCCATAGGCCCTTTTGTTGACTTAGAAAAAAGGCGAGACATTCTCCATTTTATGTTTTTTAGAGTGAAAAGGAAAAATGTGAAACTCTAACAAAATTTATTCACATATTGTATTTTGGAAGGTCTGTTTTCTTCAAATAATGCATTAACTTTTCCATTTTGGTCATTGTAATTGGTTCTCTGTATTTTTTATATTAAGACAAACTATGAGTATGGTTTAGAAAAGAGCAGCTAGTATCCGTCTTGAAATAAAGACGACCCATTCGGGAAGTCACCCTGCTGCATGTGCACTGTCTGTAAGAATTCATGGAGAAGAGATCAACTGCCCCCTCCTCGCAGAGATCTCACCAGTCACCCCTCGGCCTTCAGTGGACCTCGGCCAGACGGAAAGTTATCGGTGCTGGCCCCTCGCCCCGAGGCCAGTACATCGTGCACCTGCTCAGGCTATTTTAAGGCGTCTCCTCAAGGGTGGCCTCCGAGGTCTCCCTTCAGCACCTTCACACATCCTCCAGCCTTCTCCTGTTTCAGAAACTGCCAGCAGAGGTGCTACCTGGACTGAGGACAGTGGATTCATATCTACCTGATGGAGAGGCCCTGGCCTACCCCAGGGATCAGGGCAGCCCAAGGCTGGAGGAAATGGAAGATCAAAAGCTCTTTAAATTGTGGGGTGCCTCTTAGCAAACTTAGAGACCTTAAAAAATGTACCCCGTGTGTAGACACTGACAGTGGTGTGTCTCATTCCTCTACACAGGCCAGGGTTCAGCCAACACTGAGTCAGCAAGAGAGTTGGATCCAAGGAGAGAGTCCCCAAACAGCGCCCTCTGCAGGGTTAATGCTGTGTTTACTCTCTTCTGCTTTAACTGTGCCGGGGGCTATGAAACATCACAGAAGCAGGTTATGGCCCCTTCATAACTAAGCCAGATTTGAGTCTATTGTGGATTTAGAAATAAGATAATCAGGATACTTACAACTCTGTAAAGTAGAAGAAAATATTCTGATGAGTTTTTTAAATTTATCAGATTTTGATAAAATAATGTGACCACTATTTTAATAACTCAGAGGCCTATTTTACTTTCTTCTTAGTTCTTGGCCGACTTCCAGAGACCCATGGGAATTAAACTATTATTGTAGGTAATTCCAAAGTCACTAAGGTTGCATTTAAAAAAATCATTTGTTTAGATTTTCAAAAATAGAAATAAGGCTGTAGCATCTTTGTTAAAATATGTTTCCTATGTGGCTACAGACTTTAAATGCATCTGTCTTACTGAAATATCTCTAAAAAAGTTTGTAATGTCCTCATAGATATTTTTGATTGTACAGTAACCTCATTAAATATAATTAGGTATTAAAACTGATTTTTAGTAAAAAATATTTCTACTGTATCTTTCCTGAGTTAGAGGTATCCTCAGAATGTGGGAGTAAACACACATCTCCCTTCCTTGGTCTTGTGCCACTAAGTGAAATAAACATCAAATATTAACATGAAAACTGGCCTTTAACATTTTTGAATGCTGGTACCTTGTATCTTAGCTTGAGTGTGGCTGTCTTATCAAAGAACTGTTCCAATTTAAATATATCATATGTTTGTAATGTAGTAAAGTGTGATTATCCCTGGAATAAAACCCCTTTTCTGTTCTAATTAGTATTTGATTTTGTAGCAGAAGGTGATGGGGACTGTAATTTGGGGCATTGAGAGTGATGGTCTCCTGGATTCCCTCAGGCCAAATTAATTGCTTCCTCCCTGCTACTAATACATTTTTACCACAGCAGAGCTGTTCAGGGTATGCGTTTCTTTACAGATAATTATATCTGTGCACCGTCTGTGAATAATCTGGAGCCCAGCTGCCCAGAGAATGTCCTGCGGTGATGGTACTGTGTCTGTCCTGTGCAATGTGGTAGCCATGGGCAGTGGCTGTTGAAATACAGCCAGCATTATTCATTTGATTTTATTTAAACTTATTTAAGTTTAAAGCTAAATAAGCACACGTGGCTAGTGGCTACCATAGTGGATAGCGAAGATTTAGTGAGTAGCACGGCAAGGAATAATAAATAGCTCCTCAAAAGAAGTCCACTGACGAAAAAGTTCATTGGGCAAAGAGGAAGCACCCAGATGGCATCACTTGTGTTTTTATTTTTATACACATTGGTTTACTTTATTAATAATCATGCAGTAAATAACCATTCAACCGAATATTATACAGCTCCACCATCAAGACCTGTCCCGTATTTTGCTGAGGAAAGAGCGCGCAGCCTAAGGAAAAGTCTTAGAGGAGCTTATTTGAGGCAGACTCACTACTGCTGGGAAGCAGAATCTCAGCAGAATGAGAAAATGCTTCAGAGAATGGTAGTTGTGCAGTTTCCTTTATACATGAGAATCCAAGGAGGAGACGTAGGGGGGCTGCATGCAATCCACTGCTAGATTAGGGGGGCGGGGAAAGCAAAGCGGGGACATCTATGCCATTGGATAAAAAGTAGAGTGGAGAAACTTGCATAGTAGCGCGNATACTTACCTCTTTTACTGTGGTGGGGACAGGAGGGTTGACACTGACAGCACATGGANTTGCATAGTAGCGCGTAGCTACACGCCGCACTGATTGTTTTCTTTCCTCTTTTACTGTGGTGGGGACAGGAGGGTTGACACTGACAGCACATGGAGATGGTGCGCGGGAAACAAGGTAACTGTAAGAAAGAAGGATCTCCTGCCCAGGAGACAGCATGGGTGGGTCTGGAGATTATCGTGCTAAGCAGAAATAAACCAGTCAGAGAAAGACAAGTGTCACACGATCTTACTCCTATGCGGACTCTAACGAACAAAATAAACGGACAAACAAAATAGATCCAGAGACACAGAAGCAAAAGATTAACCTCCGACATGGAAGCTACAGCCCTGGGACTGGCTTCCCCATGACTCGCTTCCAGTGGGAGTTTCTGCATCCAGGCCGCCCGTGGGGTTGCCTTGGTCCCTGGGGTGGCCAGGCCGCCATGCAGGCCTCCCGAGCTTGTCGGGGTTAGTATGAGGCCCTTTCGCACCCACAGTTTTATCTTGCATAGTAGCGTGTAGCCAGACGCCGCACTGATTGTTTTCTTTCCTGTAGAGGAATTTTAAGAACTTCGTTGTGTAAATACTTAATTTATAGTGGCCTCTGTCGCCCTGCAGCCACATTCCCCCCTGTGCTGTTCACTGACCAGTCCCCAGCGAGGAGCTCGGGCGGCACAAGGGGGGACTCGACGGCCGTTGAACAAAGGACACACTGGGGCATCCTCGGGAAGCGTGCACACCTAACAGGCTGTTCCAGATACCACGTAACCTTCATGAACACTTACTGTAATAATTAGGGAAATAGGCTAAATTTAGACATTAAACATTTAATTTCCTAAGACCTTTTCTCATTGGTGTTTCACAGGAAAAACCGTATGGTTTCCAGTTTCCAAGCAAAACTGCCCTTGTCCTCTGGAGCCGCCTGCGCCCTCCTGGAAACGCGGGACTGGACACAGGCCCTCGGCTGGGCTTAGAGACCACAAAGCCTGCAGCGTCGTCCAGGGCGCCCCACGCCAGGGAAGGCAGAGCAGGAGGGGCGCCCAAGGGTGCAGCTCCCCCGGCCACGGCCGCACCCGGGCGCAGGGATCGCGGCGCCCAATCCAGAGCGTCAGGTCCCCAAATCAGGGGACCCACGAGGCCCAGGACACCTGCACTGAGGCCCCGCCC